GCGGGCTCAGCTGGCGAGTATCAGGCAGATGAGCGGAGGGTCGCGCGCTCAGCTGGCGAGTATCAGGCAGATGAGCGGGCAGGTGTCCGCGGCTCAGCTGCGAGTATCAGGCAGATGAGCGGGCAGGTGTCGGCGGCTCAGCTGGCGAGTATCAGGCAGATGAGCGGCAGGTGTCGCGCGGCCAGCCGGCGAGTTCAGGCAGATGAGCGGGCAGGGTGTCGTGCGGCTCAGCGGGAGTATCAGGCAGATGAGCGGGCAGGTGTCGCGGGCTCAGCTGGCGAGTCAGGCATGAGCGGGCAGGGTCGCGGGCTAGCGGCGAGTATCAGGCAGATGAGCGGGCAGGTGTCGCGTGGTCAGCTGGCGAGTATCAGGCAGATGAGCGGGCAGGGAGTCGCGCGCGTCAGCTGCGAGTATCAGGCTGAGAGCGGGCAGGTGCGCGCGGCTCAGCTGGCGAGTATCAGGCTGATGAGCGGGCAGGTGTCGCGCCCTCAGCTGGCGAGTATCAGGCAGATGAGCGGGCAGGTGTCGCCGCGGCTCAGCTGGCGAGTATCAGGCAGATGAGCAGGCAGGTGTCGCGCGGCTCAGCTGGCGAGTATCAGGCAGATGAGCGGGCAAGTGTCGCGGGGCTCAGCTGGCGAGTATCAGGCAGATGAGCGGGCAGGTGTCGCGGGCTCAGCTGGCGAGTATCAGGCAGATGAGCGGCAGTGTCGCGCGGCTCAGCTGGCGAGTATCAGGCAGATGAGCGGCAGGTGTCGCGGGGCTCAGCTGGCGAGTATCAGGCAGATGAGCGGGCAGGTGTCGCGCGGCTCAGCTGGCGAGTATCAGGCAGATGAGCGGGCAGGTGTCGCGCGGCTCAGCGCGAGTATCAGGCAGATGAGCGGGCAGGTGTCGCGCGGCTCAGCTGGCGAGTATCAGGCAGATGAGCGGGCAGGTGTCGCGCGCTCAGCTGGCGAGTATCAGGCAGATGAGCGGGCAGGGTCGCGCGGCTCAGCTGGCGAGTATCAGGCAGATGAGCGGCAGGTGTCGCGCGGCTCAGCTGGCGAGTATCAGGCAGATGAGCGGGCAGGTGTCGCGCGGCTCAGCTGGCGAGTATCAGGCAGATGAGCGGCAGGTGTCGCGCGGCTCAGCTGGCGAGTATCAGGCAGATGAGCGGGCAGGTGTCGCGCGGCTCAGCTGGCGAGTATCAGGCAGATGAGCGGGCAGGTGTCGCGCGGCTCAGCTGGCGAGTATCAGGCAGATGAGCGGGCAGTTGTCGCGCGGCTCAGCTGGCGAGTATCAGGCAGATGAGCGGGCAGGTGTCGCGCGGCTCAGCTGGCGAGTATCAGGCAGATGAGCAGGCAGGTGTCGCGGCTCAGCTGGCGAGTATCAGGCAGATGAGCGGGCAGGTGTCGCGCGGCTCAGCTGGCGAGTATCAGGCAGATGAGCGGGCAGGTGTCGCGGCTCAGCTGGCGAGTATCAGGCAGATGAGCGGGCAGGTGTCGCGCGGCTCAGCTGGCGAGTATCAGGCAGATGAGCGGCAGGTGTCGCGCGGCTCAGCTGGCGAGTATCAGGCAGATGAGCGGGCAGGTGTCGCGCGGCTCAGCTGGCGAGTATCAGGCAGATGAGCGGGCAGGTGTCGCGCGGCTCAGCTGGCGAGTATCAGGCAGATGAGCGGGCAGGTGTCGCGCGGCTCAGCTGGCGAGTATCAGGCAGATGAGCGGGCAGGTGTCGCGCGGCTCAGCTGGCGAGTATCAGGCAGATGAGCGGGCAGGTGTCGCGCGGCTCAGCTGGCGAGTATCAGGCAGATGAGCGGGCAGGTGTCGCGCGGCTCAGCTGGCGAGTATCAGGCAGATGAGCGGGCAGGTGTCGCGCGGCTCAGCTGGCGAGTATCAGGCAGATGAGCGGGCAGGTGTCGCGCGGCTCAGCTGGCGAGTATCAGGCAGATGAGCGGGCAGGTGTCGCGCGGCTCAGCTGGCGAGTATCAGGCAGATGAGCGGCAGGTGTCGCGCGGCTCAGCTGGCGAGTATCAGGCAGATGAGCAGGCAGGTGTCGCGCGGCTCAGCTGGCGAGTATCAGGCAGATGAGCGGGCAGGTGTCGCGCGGCTCAGCTGGCGAGTATCAGGCAGATGAGCGGGCAGGTGTCGCGCGGCTCAGCTGGCGAGTATCAGGCAGATGAGCGGGCAGGTGTCGCGCGGCTCAGCTGGCGAGTATCAGGCAGATGAGCGGGCAGGTGTCGCGCGGCTCAGCTGGCGAGTATCAGGCAGATGAGCGGGCAGGTGTCGCGCGGCTCAGCTGGCGAGTATCAGGCAGATGAGCGGGCAGGTGTCGCGCGGCTCAGCTGGCGAGTATCAGGCAGATGAGCGGGCAGGTGTCGCGCGGCTCAGCTGGCGAGTATCAGGCAGATGAGCGGGCAGGTGTCGCGCGGCTCAGCTGGCGAGTATCAGGCAGATGAGCGGGCAGGTGTCGCGCGGCTCAGCTGGCGAGTATCAGGCAGATGAGCGGGCAGGTGTCGCGCGGCTCAGCTGGCGAGTATCAGGCAGATGAGCGGGCAGGTGTCGCGCGGCTCAGCTGGCGAGTATCAGGCAGATGAGCGGGCAGGTGTCGCGCGGCTCAGCTGGCGAGTATCAGGCAGATGAGCGGGCAGGTGTCGCGCGGCTCAGCTGGCGAGTATCAGGCAGATGAGCGGGCAGGTGTCGCGCGGCTCAGCTGGCGAGTATCAGGCAGATGAGCGGGCAGGTGTCGCGCGGCTCAGCTGGCGAGTATCAGGCAGATGAGCGGGCAGGTGTCGCGCGGCTCAGCTGGCGAGTATCAGGCAGATGAGCGGGCAGGTGTCGCGCGGCTCAGCTGGCGAGTATCAGGCAGATGAGCGGGCAGGTGTCGCGCGGCTCAGCTGGCGAGTATCAGGCAGATGAGCGGGCAGGTGTCGCGCGGCTCAGCTGGCGAGTATCAGGCAGATGAGCGGGCAGGTGTCGCGCGGCTCAGCTGGCGAGTATCAGGCAGATGAGCGGGCAGGTGTCGCGCGGCTCAGCTGGCGAGTATCAGGCAGATGAGCGGGCAGGTGTCGCGCGGCTCAGCTGGCGAGTATCAGGCAGATGAGCGGGCAGGTGTCGCGCGGCTCAGCTGGCGAGTATCAGGCAGATGAGCGGGCAGGTGTCGCGCGGCTCAGCTGGCGAGTATCAGGCAGATGAGCGGGCAGGTGTCGCGCGGCTCAGCTGGCGAGTATCAGGCAGATGAGCGGGCAGGTGTCGCGCGGCTCAGCTGGCGAGTATCAGGCAGATGAGCGGGCAGGTGTCGCGCGGCTCAGCTGGCGAGTATCAGGCAGATGAGCGGGCAGGTGTCGCGCGGCTCAGCTGGCGAGTATCAGGCAGATGAGCGGGCAGGTGTCGCGCGGCTCAGCTGGCGAGTATCAGGCAGATGAGCGGGCAGGTGTCGCGCGGCTCAGCTGGCGAGTATCAGGCAGATGAGCGGGCAGGTGTCGCGCGGCTCAGCTGGCGAGTATCAGGCAGATGAGCGGGCAGGTGTCGCGCGGCTCAGCTGGCGAGTATCAGGCAGATGAGCGGGCAGGTGTCGCGCGGCTCAGCTGGCGAGTATCAGGCAGATGAGCGGGCAGGTGTCGCGCGGCTCAGCTGGCGAGTATCAGGCAGATGAGCGGGCAGGTGTCGCGCGGCTCAGCTGGCGAGTATCAGGCAGATGAGCGGGCAGGTGTCGCGCGGCTCAGCTGGCGAGTATCAGGCAGATGAGCGGGCAGGTGTCGCGCGGCTCAGCTGGCGAGTATCAGGCAGATGAGCGGGCAGGTGTCGCGCGGCTCAGCTGGCGAGTATCAGGCAGATGAGCGGGCAGGTGTCGCGCGGCTCAGCTGGCGAGTATCAGGCAGATGAGCGGGCAGGTGTCGCGCGGCTCAGCTGGCGAGTATCAGGCAGATGAGCGGGCAGGTGTCGCGCGGCTCAGCTGGCGAGTATCAGGCAGATGAGCGGGCAGGTGTCGCGCGGCTCAGCTGGCGAGTATCAGGCAGATGAGCGGGCAGGTGTCGCGCGGCTCAGCTGGCGAGTATCAGGCAGATGAGCGGGCAGGTGTCGCGCGGCTCAGCTGGCGAGTATCAGGCAGATGAGCGGGCAGGTGTCGCGCGGCTCAGCTGGCGAGTATCAGGCAGATGAGCGGGCAGGTGTCGCGCGGCTCAGCTGGCGAGTATCAGGCAGATGAGCGGGCAGGTGTCGCGCGGCTCAGCTGGCGAGTATCAGGCAGATGAGCGGGCAGGTGTCGCGCGGCTCAGCTGGCGAGTATCAGGCAGATGAGCGGGCAGGTGTCGCGCGGCTCAGCTGGCGAGTATCAGGCAGATGAGCGGGCAGGTGTCGCGCGGCTCAGCTGGCGAGTATCAGGCAGATGAGCGGGCAGGTGTCGCGCGGCTCAGCTGGCGAGTATCAGGCAGATGAGCGGGCAGGTGTCGCGCGGCTCAGCTGGCGAGTATCAGGCAGATGAGCGGGCAGGTGTCGCGCGGCTCAGCTGGCGAGTATCAGGCAGATGAGCGGGCAGGTGTCGCGCGGCTCAGCTGGCGAGTATCAGGCAGATGAGCGGGCAGGTGTCGCGCGGCTCAGCTGGCGAGTATCAGGCAGATGAGCGGGCAGGTGTCGCGCGGCTCAGCTGGCGAGTATCAGGCAGATGAGCGGGCAGGTGTCGCGCGGCTCAGCTGGCGAGTATCAGGCAGATGAGCGGGCAGGTGTCGCGCGGCTCAGCTGGCGAGTATCAGGCAGATGAGCGGGCAGGTGTCGCGCGGCTCAGCTGGCGAGTATCAGGCAGATGAGCGGGCAGGTGTCGCGCGGCTCAGCTGGCGAGTATCAGGCAGATGAGCGGGCAGGTGTCGCGCGGCTCAGCTGGCGAGTATCAGGCAGATGAGCGGGCAGGTGTCGCGCGGCTCAGCTGGCGAGTATCAGGCAGATGAGCGGGCAGGTGTCGCGCGGCTCAGCTGGCGAGTATCAGGCAGATGAGCGGGCAGGTGTCGCGCGGCTCAGCTGGCGAGTATCAGGCAGATGAGCGGGCAGGTGTCGCGCGGCTCAGCTGGCGAGTATCAGGCAGATGAGCGGGCAGGTGTCGCGCGGCTCAGCTGGCGAGTATCAGGCAGATGAGCGGGCAGGTGTCGCGCGGCTCAGCTGGCGAGTATCAGGCAGATGAGCGGGCAGGTGTCGCGCGGCTCAGCTGGCGAGTATCAGGCAGATGAGCGGGCAGGTGTCGCGCGGCTCAGCTGGCGAGTATCAGGCAGATGAGCGGGCAGGTGTCGCGCGGCTCAGCTGGCGAGTATCAGGCAGATGAGCGGGCAGGTGTCGCGCGGCTCAGCTGGCGAGTATCAGGCAGATGAGCGGGCAGGTGTCGCGCGGCTCAGCTGGCGAGTATCAGGCAGATGAGCGGGCAGGTGTCGCGCGGCTCAGCTGGCGAGTATCAGGCAGATGAGCGGGCAGGTGTCGCGCGGCTCAGCTGGCGAGTATCAGGCAGATGAGCGGGCAGGTGTCGCGCGGCTCAGCTGGCGAGTATCAGGCAGATGAGCGGGCAGGTGTCGCGCGGCTCAGCTGGCGAGTATCAGGCAGATGAGCGGGCAGGTGTCGCGCGGCTCAGCTGGCGAGTATCAGGCAGATGAGCGGGCAGGTGTCGCGCGGCTCAGCTGGCGAGTATCAGGCAGATGAGCGGGCAGGTGTCGCGCGGCTCAGCTGGCGAGTATCAGGCAGATGAGCGGGCAGGTGTCGCGCGGCTCAGCTGGCGAGTATCAGGCAGATGAGCGGGCAGGTGTCGCGCGGCTCAGCTGGCGAGTATCAGGCAGATGAGCGGGCAGGTGTCGCGCGGCTCAGCTGGCGAGTATCAGGCAGATGAGCGGGCAGGTGTCGCGCGGCTCAGCTGGCGAGTATCAGGCAGATGAGCGGGCAGGTGTCGCGCGGCTCAGCTGGCGAGTATCAGGCAGATGAGCGGGCAGGTGTCGCGCGGCTCAGCTGGCGAGTATCAGGCAGATGAGCGGGCAGGTGTCGCGCGGCTCAGCTGGCGAGTATCAGGCAGATGAGCGGGCAGGTGTCGCGCGGCTCAGCTGGCGAGTATCAGGCAGATGAGCGGGCAGGTGTCGCGCGGCTCAGCTGGCGAGTATCAGGCAGATGAGCGGGCAGGTGTCGCGCGGCTCAGCTGGCGAGTATCAGGCAGATGAGCGGGCAGGTGTCGCGCGGCTCAGCTGGCGAGTATCAGGCAGATGAGCGGGCAGGTGTCGCGCGGCTCAGCTGGCGAGTATCAGGCAGATGAGCGGGCAGGTGTCGCGCGGCTCAGCTGGCGAGTATCAGGCAGATGAGCGGGCAGGTGTCGCGCGGCTCAGCTGGCGAGTATCAGGCAGATGAGCGGGCAGGTGTCGCGCGGCTCAGCTGGCGAGTATCAGGCAGATGAGCGGGCAGGTGTCGCGCGGCTCAGCTGGCGAGTATCAGGCAGATGAGCGGGCAGGTGTCGCGCGGCTCAGCTGGCGAGTATCAGGCAGATGAGCGGGCAGGTGTCGCGCGGCTCAGCTGGCGAGTATCAGGCAGATGAGCGGGCAGGTGTCGCGCGGCTCAGCTGGCGAGTATCAGGCAGATGAGCGGGCAGGTGTCGCGCGGCTCAGCTGGCGAGT